TAAACAAAGTGGCACCGATCCCATATAATGTAAACAAACAGCTAATTCAGTCCATAAAGTGTAAACAAAGTTGCGCATGTTCTTTTTTCCAATAAACTGCTCATTACTTCGAATCGCCGATATCGGGCATAATAATATATAGCTGCCATACAAGCCACTATAGCATATATCGGTACAGCTGAAGTCTACGTTTTTTCTAGTTTAATATAAAGTTTTGCTGAACCTGAAGGTATTTTGCCTGCTTTGATCCTTGCAACTTGCAAGAGTAAAAAATGTTCGAACATAGTCCTTCCTTATTTGTTGTCTAAAAACGTTTGATCTCAAGACAATTTTTCAAAGCCTAAATAATTTCACGAGCGAGTTCGGTTAGGTATAAAACTTATATTTTTACAGATTCTATATTGGAACATGATTTTTTTGCATTGTTGTTCACATCCCATTAATCAGATCGTATTGACAGACTGCCGATAGCTGAGGCAGCACGCATCTCAAAAAACCGAGTGAATTATGTACTGCATAAAATATTGGACATGAGAAAGCTGTTGGCGCGAGGATTGTCGCATTTGCGCACTGTAGAAATCAAACGCAATCTGAAAGACTTTTTGTGTCGGTGAAAAAAGTGGACTTAATCCCACAAACCTGCTCCGAATAAGCCGAAGACTGGACTGTCGCCCGGAAATATAATGGCTGCCATGACTTTTCTCCATTATTTTCTATTTTGCTTATATCTTTGTAATATGCAATTTCGAGAACTCTACAAATTCTGGCTTTAAACAAGTTTAATAAAATAAATTTTTTTTTCGCCGAATCGTAGTGAATAAGTTTTTAAGGTGATGAGCTGAATCAACACTAGTTTTGATAAAAAACCACGTAATTTAGCAAAGAAAACACTCTCTTGCTTAACTTAAACTGAAGTATGTAAGAGAATGAAATTCACGCATCTTTTCGAGGCTTTGGGAAACCATTTAATCATATATTATATTATATAATAATTAACGACGGACAATGGGAAGTCAAATTCGGTTTTGAAAACATTATTGGTCGAATAAAACATTAGCCTGTATTCATACGTTGGGCGCACAGAATAAACCTATTAAAAGCACTCTGCAAGAAATAACGCTATGAAACTACCGTAAGCTCTATTTCTATCGTTCTTGCATAGATCACCCATTCGGTCTCCATTCAGCAAAAGCATTAAATAAGTAATTTGAAAATTGACTGCATTTGCTCAATGAAAATTGCGGAATAAATGGTGGCGTGGTGTGTAAGCGCGGTAGTACAAATGTAAATGCCACCAATTGTGGTGACAATGTTGTGAAAATGTTGCATCATTACCATATATGGTACATCCCACGCAGAATAATGCACATGCTCATGCATATGTATGCGACTACGTACATAAATGCCACACACGAATGGACAACAACAATGCATAGGAAATATTACCAGCAAATTCACAACCAGCTGTCTGTCGGACATTGGTGGAATAGTGTAATAAATTCAAATTTCGCAAATGAACAACATTTGCGCATCTGCAACCAAATCTTTGAGAGATATGTGTACATACATATAAAGGGTGGTTCATTTTATGGTACTGTACGCTCTCACTTTAAAAATTTGGTTTAAGGAGTTTCAACGTGGTTGCAAGTCGGTTTTTGATGACCCACGCTCAAGAGACCCAAAAATTGCTACGATGTCTAAGCGCAATTCGAAGAAGTTTATACAACGTTCTAAGATAGTCGTATCGTCTACGAAACATAAACCCACTGGTACATACCAGAGACTAAGAGACAGTCAAAAGTGTGGACTTCATCCGGAGAATCTGCTCTATCGAACGAAAAGTGGTGCCATCTCCATTTACTGGAGTTCACAAGATGGTAAGGGCTAAAGAGTCAAAGAGTTTTACTATGACGAATTATTGGGTCGATTCGACGCTGAATTGCATAAAATCGGGCCTAATTGACAAAGAGCTCACACCTTCCGCGCCGTCACGGTCAAATTGGTCGAATTATTATTATTATTTATTCGGCTCCCTGCGACTGAAGCAGTCCATCGCTTTGAGTCGAATAAGGAGATTATCGACGCCAACTTTGCAGAACTTCAAAAAAAAATACTCTTTATACCGAGTAAAGAATTGGAGCATCGCTGCGTCATATACCAATAGAATCTCAGAAACTGTTTCTTTTTTTTCTAAACAAATATCAGTCACCCTGTACACAGTGATTAACAGTATTACAAATAAAGCTATTTAATTGTTTGCGACTTAAGCAAAAGCCTTTTATATTAGAATTGTTTTATTGCGTTGACTTGGTTGTTGGCAAGTTGTTGTTGCTCCTGCTCGTTTCAGTTTTGGGCAATTGAGCAAACTAGTGAGTAGCCAACGAGCATGAACAACGAGAATCTTATCTTCACTGCGATCAACTCATTATGTGGTGAATGTATGTATGTATGTACAAGTATATTTGCAGTTTTAGTTTAAGCTTTTCCTTTTTCTTTTTTGATTTCCATTTCGTTTTAGCAGTCACACCTTTGTTTTAATCAGTTAAAAGTTAGCGTCAACCACAATGCATTCAAATAAATGAAATTATTAAGCAAATTACAACTCAGTTGCCCAATTTATGAAAACGCAACATCCGCTGTCGTGATACACTACAAACAATGGACAATTTGCCCTGGTCACGGACAAGTAGCTAGTGAGCTTATTTAGCGCTTTAATGAACTAAAGTTGTTAGTTACACATTAATAATTTATTTGCCACAATTTTAAGCGTTATATTAAATATTTTTCTCAAAAAATAAAAAAATTTCCGAAATTTTCAAGTTTTGGAAATATGAAGGTATTTGTAAGAATATTTTAACTTTGTGTAATGGGCTCCCGAAACTTTGAACTTTTAACGCGTTTTTCTCGAAACGCTGTTTTCAGCGTCGGTGAAGAAAATTTCTCTGAGACGGCTGAACCGATCGGCTTGAAATTTTCACACGACATTCCTAAATATATTTTTCAGGTAATGATCGAGGAAATAAGATTTTTGACAATAATTTCGATTTTTTTAAGCTACTTTGCATTGTAAATTTTCTCACAAAAAATGCATATTTTTGTTTGGGAAGTCGTAATTTTCTCAAAAATCAAAATGTTCACTATTCCTTCAATCATTACCTGTATTCATCTATCATAATACTAAATTTCATTGGTTTTTGGTTTTAGATAATTTGACGCCGAAATATTTTCCTCACCGCTAGACAAATTTTTCCAGAGATCCTTCTGGAGATCGGCTATAAGAACTAGGGATCCAATATTTTTAAAAATTAATCGCTGATTCTAAAAGTACATTAAATTCTCTTTATGTTTTTTTTTAAGTCGTAAAATAAAAAAAATATGCAACTCACAAGCTTTCATAATTTTGTTATTATTATTTTAGCGATTATCTTTGAATTTGAATAAAGTTAAAGGGTGTCTAATTAAGCGATGTCATCTAAGGGCAGAGAATCGTTTAAAATGTTGCAGCAGTGTTTTGGGGAATCCACTTTATAACGAACACAAGTATTTGAGTGGCATTAAATATGCAGTGAAGGTCGAAGAGAGCGCAGAGGATCTCAACATCCCTTATGGCGTGGGTTTATGAATATTACGTCAAAACTGTCCAAAAATCTAGAGAATGGCGCTCCAAACATGAGCCGAAATCGAAAAAATAAAAATTCGCTGAAGGTACCGAAAGCCATCCCAGCTGAGGCTTATAACTTAAGTGTATAGAAAATTGGATTAAGCGCTGGCATGCTTGCATTGGCTCAGGAGCCTATTTTGAAGGCAATAATACAAATTTGTATTAAAATTCGTGAAAATGTAGCTTTTTTGTCAATCCGTGGCAGATTTGATGGTAAACCTATAGTTTTCATGTGACGTTAGTGGAAATTATGTTGTTGCTTTTGTAGCGGTTATCTAGTCCGCGTTTGAGTGGTAAGGTTCAAAAGTTTTTGTCATTGAAGTCGGAGTACGGGGTGAAGGGGTGTTAGACTGGGAGTCATGCTGCCTTCAGCTCCTTAGGGCCGCAGAGGTCCTTTCTTGGCCACTCGACTGGAGCAATGTGCGAACATGGTGCAGATTGCACAGCCATTGAGGCAGGTGTCGCAGTAGAGCATTGGCAGCATGGGCCCACGTAACTCGTGATCCACTCCCTATGGGTCTTAAGGCCTGAGCAGCTCTTAAGATGGCTCCATCCATTCCATGTATTGCACCTAACCGAGGTGGAGTTTGGATGAAGCCTTTTAGCGCATATGCAGCAGAAGAATTTCTCAGGGCCCGGGTTGGACTCGATACCAGCACGTTCAAGAGAATACGGAGCAACCCTGCTGCTAGGCGTTGCTCTAAAGACGACAAACTTAAACTAACACTTACCGATCCAAACAGGGTTAGATCGCCGAAATAACAGCCCTTGGCCGAATAAAATCCAGCTCAATTCCGGTAACGTAGAACCGGCTGTTGTGGGAATTAATCATATCTGGGTCTAAATTTTTGACAAAAAAAAAAAGTCAGAAGACCCAAAGGACTAATTGTTGGTTTTGAAATATTTTTATTTAAAGCCGTTGAATATTCGGGTTCAATGGGATTAAATAGAACCTTCTGTGAGAAATGAAAACATATATCTGATGATATGATTCCCTTTAGGTAACGGTTATCCTTGGAGGAGCAAACTGATTTTCAACAAAGAGCGTTATACTATCTTAACAATTAGTAAAAAAAAAAAAATGAATAAAAGAAAAAATAACCTTTAGTGACTGCCTAACGGCATTTTTAATTCCATAAAAAATGTTTAAGCAAATAGCTGCTCAGCTCGTTTCAATAATGAGGGCAATTCTTATTAAATCCTTTACCACTTATCTTATTTTATTCTAATACTGAGTTTTTCAAATCGGCATAAATTTTCTGATTTGCATTTCAAAAAATGTTGAGAAGCTATAAGTATTTGCGTATATAAGTACACTGATGAAAAAAATATATGTAATAGTATATTTACCAAAAGTGTTGCCTTTATTAGTTACCACCATTCCGAATACCAATAATTATAGTTATCGAAACAAATTGCGTAAATAAATTTCAATTATAATATACGTATATTCTGCTTGCTTTTTAACCTTGCGTTTCCCTTTAAAAACTAAATTCAGTTATCCACTCACATTTATAAAGACTATATATTTGCAAATGTGTGTAAATGATTGACATACATTTGGGTTTAAAGAATTTGAAGGGGTGCGTACGTGCCATTTACCACTTGCGCCTTAAAATTCACGGCGATGATATTTATCCGGATCAAAGTATGATGTGACGACAACGCGATCGCTAAACTTACGACCGGTCAACGCTTGTTGTGCCTTCTGACAGTCCATAACGGAATTGAATTCAACAAACACTTTGCCACAACCGGGCACATCAACACCCTCAATGGGACGTGGTATTTCTACGCTACGCACAACGCCATACTTATTGCATTCCTCTTTGATATCCTCCAAAATATCTTCGTACTCCTCTTCATCACGCAACTCATCCGGCGTGACCATATTCAACAAGCACAACACTTCAGTCGGTGGACCCGAGGTACCGACCATCGACATGCCGGGTACTTGTATCATGACCGGCGCAGCGGTAGTGGCGCTATTCTGTGCATTCTTCGCACCAACACTGGCGCGTTGTACTATCAACTTCTTATCGCCCAGTTGCATGCCATTCAGACCGGCAATAGCCTGCAAGTAATGAGAAATGAAATGTCAGCGTTTTGTGTTATTGTAATATAATTTGTAGTGCTTACCTGATCGGTTATGCTGTGATCAACGTACTCAGAGAAGGCATAGCCTTTGCTCAAACCGGTGGCGGCATCCTTTACCAGATTGAAAGCGCGCAATTGACCAAATGAGAGTAGCAACTCTTTTACCTAGTGGAATTTAGAAAGCAATTGCGATTAGTTTTTGGCTGTTAATGCGTTTTGTGTTATTAGCAAAATAAAAATAATAAAAAATTCTAAATTGTATTGACATCTGCGAACTTTGTATTGTTTTGTTTTAATCGTCATAAAAGAGCTAATTGCAATTCCACTGCGATTATAAGTAACCCTTTAATGAGAGTGCATGTCCTTCCACCACCACCACCACCTAAAACAAAATAACATTGGGAATTGGCTAAACGAAATTGTCGACATTGATTTGTAGTTTACTTAGTATGGTTATTCTGAAAAGTTCCTGTAGAGATTTTTGCAAATGGAATTTGTTGTCAATTTTTATAAACTTGCCTTTTACACCGACATTTGCATGCATTGCAATTTCACTGCATCGACACGCACTCACTTAAGTTTCTCACACCGCATATATTGTACTCGCAACTTAATGCACACGCAAGAAAAGATGTGTGTTTTCTTTTGTATGTAGGTGGGTGCAGTGGGCATGGTCGATGCAACTGCAATAAAATCGAAAGCGAAAACGAACCTTCTACGAGTTCTTTCTTGTTGCTGTGGTGTATGATGCAACCTAAGCTACAAATGACCAAACAATCAAAAACACAATTAATACAAGTTTTGACAACAAATCTAGGTAGATATGTATATACATATAAACAACAAAAAAAAATTGTTTTAAATTTAGCTCAAAAAATGTTGTAAGAACAGATCATTCTAGCTGAAAGTGAATTTAAGTGCGTTGTTGAGACTGGAGCTGAAAATTAAGCTGTAAGAAGAGCTGAAAAGTGAAATTTGGTGCTGAAAATTCAAAACCGTAGCAGAAGTTCTGCGCTGAAATTTAAGCTGAAAGAGGAATTCAAATGATAACTAAATTGGCACGCATGCAGCGCTGCTTGACTGCAACCGCATTTGGTATACTGGATACGCCTATAATGCTACAGGGGAAAAATTTAAATAAATTTTGGAAATTCTCTTTCTTTGGAATTCATGTATGCCCGTAGCCGCACTGCCTCATAAACTGTGCCAAAAAAACTTTACAGTTACATTATTCTGGATATATCAACAAAGTGCAGCAATCAGCCAACTTACCTGCTCTTCATTCAAATAATTAGGCAGGCCACCAATGAAAATCTTGTGCGGTGAATCTGGCACAACGGTCGAAATGACACCATTAGCTGCAATTAAAAAATAATAATTAATTAGAAAAACATGTTTACAGAATTTTTTTTTTTGTTTGTTTTTAGAAATCTCTCTTTTCTAGGCATTTTTTTTTTAGAAAAATTTGCAGCTTACCTACTGGCGCCGTTATTGGCGGCGCATCAGCTACACCGGGCATGGGTTGATAATCATGTGGGCGTCGTATTTTCAAACTCTGACCCTTAAAGTTGATGCCATCAAATGCCATTGCCTGTGTGGTCTCATCAGTCGAACGAAATTCTAAGAAAGCGAAATTCTTATCCAAATTAATCTGACATGCCAAAACTGGACTGCCAGCCGCTTGTGCCAGACCCGTCAAGTGCATTTGTTGATTGAAGAATTCCATCATTTCATCTTCGGTAACACCGAACGGTATATTGCCCACGTAGAGACGACGTGCCTGTCGCGTTATGGTTGAACCCACAACCGGCACGGCGGCTTGTGGAATTTCGGGTACAGCATTTGCCGGTATCTGACCGGCTGCCTGCATTGCTTTGTACTGCATGGGGGTAATATGTTCAAAACCTGGCGGTGGTACATCCCAATATAATGAAGGTTTTCTCCGTCGCGAACGTGTGTGCCGATCACGGCCAGCAGCAGCACCCTCGCGCTTACGATCGCGAGAGCGTGAACGACGATAATCGCGTTCTCGGTCGCGTTCCCTTGAACGCGATCTATGTCGGCGCCTATCACGGTCTGCAAAAATTATACATACATATATGTGTACCTTTAAATATACACGTTGTTTCGTTGCGAGAAAACTTCGCAGCTACTCACCTTCTGAACCCATTTTATAGCTAGTTAGTAATTACTCAATGATATTAATGATGAATATTTCCAAAATCTTTTGTTAATAGTATATATTTTTAAGCACAATGATTGAAAAAACACAATTTTTTTTGGTGTGTGTGCAGAAGCCGAATTCGTTAGCGAAAATTTTTCTGACAGACGCTACGCATAATTGTCAAACGCAAAGAGAGAGACAAACATATTATCAGATGTCAATTACAACCAGGCTGCCATTATTATAACTAATTTAGATATTTGGGTTCGGACTTGGTTAAGCCGTTATTAGGCAAGAAGTATTCCAATTTAGAATTTAAACTGCTTTTTCGCAATTATTTACAAATATTTCCACAGCGTTGATCGTAATATTTAATAAATATATGATATAAAATATTTTTCTTAGCCCATAGTTAATAAAATATTTAATCAAAGTGGCATCCGTGGAAAAGACAAATTCGCCGTATTTAAGGTTTTGATTATAGCAATATTTTTCTATTAATACAACTTAAGGCTTTTTCGAAAGTTTTATATAAATTAATACACAACTTAATCGCCAGGACTGTATTGTATATTAAGTTTTGTTATTAGCAAAAAAAACTTTAAAATTGCCTAGAAATTAAAATCAAATCAAAGTTTCAACTTTAATATTCGTTTGTTTAATAAATGGTTTCAGAGAGTTTTCGATTTTAATAAAAATGAAACAGTTACATTGCAAATCGTCGGCATTACAAAAAAAAAATACGGTGCTAATAAATTTGTAACTGTCCTTATGCAAAATAAAAACATAAACCATAGGTGTGGCAGCACTGAATAAACAGCTGTAGCCATTATTTTGTTTACAATCTTCCAATTGTGATGAATTATGAGCGTAAAAATATTTCTGCCCGCTTTTCTGTTTCACACAAAAAAAGACTGTGATATATATGGAGAAATACAAATCAATGAAAATAACGCAATTTCTTATTATATTATTGCGCATCAAGATTATCAGAATGTGAGTCAAGGCAGTTTGCGACACTTGGGACACATAGTTCGTGCCGGACCAACATCAGCCTTACAACATCGAGATGTTGCGGTGACCTTTGCCTATGACGAGGACACGCCAAACATTTATTTAGTTAAATTAAGCATAAAACCGTCAGGAACCACACAAGTAAATGTCTTCCTTTATGATGTGCCAAAAATGCGACACTTGTACGAATATATTATAATCAATTATGAGACAAATAAAAGCCATGCAATATCTGCTGAAGGAAATTGCGAGGAAGAAACTGACCAATGTAATGACGTTGTATTGTTGTGCCGTCTGTTAAATGAAAATCACAAGCAAAATAAAGTGGTTAAAGTCACGATATTCAGTATTCTACAAAAGTTACTATTTTTACTGCCTAATTTAATAACATATTTATTAATTATATTGCTGGAGTGTAAGCCAGTTAAAACGCTTATGCAAAAAACATCAATTTACGTACACTTTTTGGAATGGCGTAGATTGGACGCAACTGGGTAAGCTCGATGAATTTTATCTTAGATATACTGTCTATTTTAATGTATTTCCGTTTTAGACAACGTAAACTAAACATAGCAATGGACAAAATTCTCGGAGTTAGTGTAATGATATTCTTACTCTTTTACGTATCGCAGCCCGGCGATTACCTGCTAACAACATCGCACGTGAGTAGTTAGAGCCTCTATTTGTGTACTTATACTAAGCATCGAATTTTGTGTACATGTACGTATGTATTCCAGTGGGTCATACAAAAGCTGCGCTTGCTGCTGCGTTCCCTTAAAGGCAGCCCGATTGGCCTCAAACTGAATGAGCATCTTAACAATTTTCTGCTCGATTGTTTTAATTATCACATCGATCTGTGGGAAAAGTTTTTAGGTAACCTCATACACACTATAATTTATATATTTTCTTTAAATGTTCCACTTCGTTCTCCAACTAGATCTGATCGAACCCATTGTGCGTCAACTTTTCGTCCCAATTGCCATGCTTGGTTTTATAGGAATATCCTTTCAATTAGCATCTTTGCCAGTGTTGATATCAATAATCGGTTTGCATGCGCATTGCTTTTATATATACACAGCAGTGTAAGCTGCCCATTGTATATGAAAATATCAATAAATATAAAAGTATATTTTTTTAATTAGATTGTACAAAGTGGAGATCAGAGGTATCCAAGTACTTTGGAAGGTGATGCTAGGCAAACGCTACAATGTGCTTAAAAGTAAATATAGTTTAAAAATTCACACATATAATTAAGCTAAATAAGCATGACTTGCAGATCGCGTGGAGTCACATAATTATGTTAACCGGCAGTTGTATCTAGCGACAATATTCTTTACATCGCTGCTATTTTTGTTTCCAACAGTATTGGTTTATTACGTGGTTTTCACAACGGTAACACAAGTTAATAAGTTTTTTTACAAATTATTAATTACTTTCTTGTAGTTGCGGCTTTGTATATACCTCGTAAATTTGGTTGTCGAAGTGTTGCGGCGTAAAATTTTAAAATTTCCTCTGCTAACTCTGCTAAAATGGACCATTGATAAATTTTACGATATGGGTATGTAATTATGAAACTTTTAATAACTATAATTTGGCATTAATTTCTTTTATTGATTTATTTTAGAAAGTATACACGTCGCTTATATGCCACACTCGCCGTCCCCTTTGTTACAACCACAGAATTTGCAAATTAGTATGTCCGTTTTCAAATTAAGCATACAAAAATCGCCATTAAGTCGGGTATTTTCATGTGAAAGTGGAATCCTGGAAGAATTTAAATCGGATGAGATGTCAATTAAAAATGCATTTAGGCGTATGCTTAAAGGAACATTTTAAAACTGTTAGTAAATTCTCACTGATATTAAATCTGTCTTAAACCACAAATGGTTGTTATATTGTTCAAAAATTAATAATTTTTAATACAAATCAGTTTACATATTTTGCATATAATGCGCTTTCTACTGGAAATTTTGGTATATACAATGCATACAAAATAAGAAATAAGGACACGAATTAATATTTGTATTGAAGTTATAACTTCTTAAAAATCATAGTTTTCAAGAAACTTCTTAATAACTAAAAACACGCCTCAAACATTGTTCTAACGTACAGTTAAACTTACAGGTATTTATTATACAAAATTACATTTAAGCCACCGGAGAAATAAACTAGAATATTAAAATTATCCTCAGTTGAAAATCTGTGTAGACTTCTACTATACCGTCGTTCGATTTGCATCGCCGCCAAGTTTTTGAACCAGCTGCAAGATAATATAAGAAAATTAACTCTTTGTCAAAAACGTTTCTTTTATATATTTTTTTTATTTTCATAAATTTACAGTAAAATTACGACCCTGCCAAATCTATTACTTATTTTCTGTTAGCTATTACATCTGTCAACTGTCACACGTTCCTATTGCGATCGAGTGAGTGAAACAGCGATAGTCCACCAACAAATTCTATTTTACTTCATATTTCTATCAGCTCGCTGTGAAAGATTTGTACAAATCTCTAAATTCGTGCGAAATGTCGGGATATATTGCCAGGAAAGGTCCCTTAGTCTTTTGTAAGTACATTTGAGTGTTATATACAAGAAATTATTGTATGACTTAGGATTTAAACTATCGAACACTAAAAAATATTTCAGAAATATGTTTTCCCCATTTGGTTACGTAAATAAAATGTATTAATACTTTTTTTAATAAATAATAATAACCATATATCCTCCATTTTTAGCAAATTTGGGCAAATGGGCCTATAACTTGTCTGGTTTCAATCAATACGGTGAGTTATCGCTATTAAGCTTTTATAATTATTGTTGCTCAATAACTAACCTTCAATTCGCACAATGTTTTAATATCACTTATCAATTGACATACCCATAGGTCTGCACCGTGATGATTGCCTGTATGAGAATGAGGACGTGAAAGAAGCTGTACGTCGTCTCCCCCGTAAATTGTACGATGAACGTAACTACCGTATTATGCGTGCTCTGCATTTGTCCATGACAAAAACATTTTTACCAAAAGAACAATGGACTAAATATGAGGAGGACGTCAAATACTTGGAACCTTATTTGAAGGAAGTTATTAAAGAGCGCGAAGAACGCGAGGAGTGGAATAAGGACCATTAAATGCGTTCTTTAATCTTAATCTATAAAAATGCGATTTATTTAGAGATGTGTAAAATAATGAAAATAAATTATCTAAAAAATGTAACCAAGTCTTTTTACAAAAAAAATTTTACTTAGTACAGGCAGGTGAGAGTTTCTTGAAAATTTTTCAAATTTCTTTATTTTGAATTAAAATTAACTTACCTTTTGAATAAATGGAGCATTCAGAACAGAGCCTAACACAGGCACTCGCCCCAAGAAATTAATTGCCACTGGGAAGAATCCGCTAAATTATTAAATAAATATTTATATAAATTAGAATGAAGTGTGAAACATATATCTCTTACCTGAATAACACAAAGAATCCATACAGTTCAATAACCATACCAATCATAGGAAAACCAAGTAGTACTACAAAAATTCCGCCAAAAAAAGCTGTAGTTCCTTTAACTTTATGTCTTTGGAAGAAAAACCGGAATGTACGTTGGACTCCAATTACGCAGGCAAGACCACTTAGGAAAAGTAACTAGAAGTTAATTGTTAATACTTAATATAAAATACCCGTTATAATTATATTATTACATTGCCGATTGCTAATAATCCTTTATCAAATAGAAATAACACACCCAAAAATAGAAAGGAGACACCAAAACCAGCCAGGCCAATGCCGATTTCTATAAAAAACATTCATATTTAGCCAACAATAGTAACAATAAAAGACTAAGAAAAACACGAAGGGCTGAAGCCAAACACTAATAACGCGGGTCCGTTTAAGTCATTATAGACTTACTTTGCAAATCTGTTACTTCAATCATAATGCTTCTTGTGCAAAATTTTATATAAATTTTTTTTAACAACCTAAAGTACTATAAATCAATGTATTTAGTTATTATTTACTACAAATATTTGATCTCTTCCACGTAAACGGATTTTTCTTTTTGGTTGTTCGAACAGCTGATTGTTTCTTCCCATGACATTTGGCGTTTCGTTGTGTTAATTGAAATTGCATCATTTACAAACACAGTTAAAAGTGTTGGGAAACTTAAACAAAACATTGTACATATATATCAAACAAATAATATCATAAATTCAGAATAAATAAATATAATTTGATTTTAAGAAACAATATTAAACAATAGTGGGCCTGGTAATGTTAATCAAATAGTCCTAACAATTAGTTGATATATAATTTATCTAAAAAGGTATTATGAAAAATATTGTAAAAAATTTCAGATTGAAATACAACTTTTTTTAATTATATAATTTAAGCAAACTTAACCTGTTATTTATGTGTTTTTTTAGTTTTTTTTGTGTTGTGTAGTAATATATTTACAAAGATATTGTAATTATCAACAAGGATATGGCAGCTCATGTATTGGCAGCCATTTTTGCTGAAAACACAACTCTGTGTGCGGCAAAACGCCATTTTTCAATCAATGCAGAAAAATTTTTCTCAGTGGCGTGGCTTTAACTTCTGCTGTTTTAAATAGTGAAATTCAGTCAAATTTTAGCGTTAAACAGTGTCAACAGATTCTTAAAAACAAATATGGATAGTGAGTATACGTTTAAAATTAACATTTTGAATAGATTTTCAATGTTTCTGTTAATTATAACACAGGAGGTGGTTATGGCGGTGCTGGTGGCGGAGGAGGTTACAATAATTTTTCTGTACCACCACCGAATTTCCAGCAGCAAATGCAACCAAAAAGTGGCGGCTACAATGATCAATCCTCCTACAACAAAGGAGGTATATATATAATTAAATTTGCACTTAAAATATTTTCTTTAACTATAGTTGATTTGTAGGTTATGATTCAGGTAGTCGCGGCGGAAGTGGTGGAGGCGGCGGCGGTTGGAATGACCGTGGAAGTGGCGGAGGCGGCGGTTATGGGTATGTATCTATTATCCTTTACATTTTCGTTCGAAACAACTTCACAAGCTAAGGCCCATTCATTAGCTTATCTCAAGCTAATAACGAAAAGAGCGTGTTCAAATCCTATAAAAAAGATTTTTGTTGACAAAGCTATCAAATGCAAAGTGTTTAGGGTATCTGTGCCGTTTTAGAATGTATGTATCATTGAAAATCAAAATTTGTATAAGTTGAAAAATTTGGGATTTTTGCTTCTCTACTGCATCTGCAAACTATTGAACTTCGTGTTTACCTGACCCTTAATTTTAAACATATGATTTTGAGAGGTATAAAACAATTGTGGTGCGATTTAATTGATGAAGGTACAAGTGTGCAAATCTGTTAGCTACTTTTGTTTTTGTTTTTTTTTCCTTATTTATTCCATGTTGATTCAAGTATTTAAATTTATCTAATTTAAGCGAGGCATTGTTACACGCAATATCGTGGTGAATTTCTATGATACTGTTTATTTTGTGGAGAAGCAATCAATTCCAACATTGTCATTTTTTTTTTAACTTGTTTTTATTGTTGCATTGTTTATGAAACTTTTTTAAAAGTAATTTAAAGGCGTAGAGGTGTAATACTGTCGACGACATTGTGAAAATTTCATCAGAAATAACTCCATGAAAAATTAACATGATCTGGTTTCTAAATCGTTTTAAGTGGTTCATTTTGTTGGCGTAATATGAATAGTACACAATATGAAATACATACCTAAGAGCCTGGTGTATAATATTGCTTAGTTGGGTAAGGTTAATTTCGAAATATTTAAACTTTGTAATGTTCAAATCATCGCAATCTGGTGGATCAACAACGTTTTAACTACGCGTTAATTTAATGGTTGGTTATTGAGGAAAACACATTTACAATCAACTTAAAAATGGTACTTGCTTGTGTATGCGATCTAACATGATTTTTAAAAATTCTCAGTAACTGCAAATCACGAATGCACATTTAAATGAGTCTTGATATCCTATTTTAGAAATGGAGGCGGCAGCAAGGACGGCTACAATAAAGGTAAAATAAAAGCAAGCCAAATTGCAAATAATTGAGTAAAGTATAAATCAATTCATTTACTACTTACAATTCTTAACTCTGCGATTTACGTATAAATTATTGTATGACTAGTGTTTTCATAGTGTATTTAATTGAGAGTGCCAACTAATAGAGAGTACATACATATATATAAAAACTTCTTGTGGGGTATACTGCAAACTACGCAGTTCTGGAATAATAGAACTACAATGTATTCTTTTTTAATTCAGAGTATTCTGACTTTATGTCAAAAAAACATGAGAGTGCACCAAGTGGATGGTATATATGTATAAGTATAATGCCGTATCCGGCGATACAGTTGATCAATAAAAATTTGATCTTGGTATTCAAAAACATTATGGTATCTGCTTTGGGTTATTTGAAACTATAGAAGATTCACAAACTAGTGAAAATAAAGGTGGAATTGTTATAAATATTTGTTAACGCTATAATTTTTAAGAAACGCAAAGGTTTATATATTTGGTTTCATGAACAGCATATATACTGTTGAAAAAATATCTTGTGTAACTCGCAAAAATTGCTAATTTTTTGTTTAAAGAAGTACAAAGAGGTGTTAATATATTGGAGTACATAAATACATTTACATATGTATTTGGTATTGGTGTTATAGAAACAACCATGGTTAAATTCTTCAGTATCTTTATTATTGCTCCTGATAAAATTTATCAAAGGTGAACCAGAGAATAAAACTGACTACACTACACTTCGTCCATGTTTCAAAAGTGTTCTATTAGAAGGTCATACACTTACTATTATTATATATATTCATTTTCATATTATGGTACTTCGAATTAGCGTTTTAAAGTAGTTTCTTGAAACCAATTTAGTGACCAAGCCATATCTCATAGTTTAAATATATTTATTAAGATAAAATTATGCTAATATTAGTTATGTTATTTTAGGCGGATATAGTGGAGGCAGCGGTGGCGGCGGCGGCGGTGGTGCTGCCGAAATGGTTACTCAAGAAGACACCATCTTTGTCTCTGGCATGGATCCTGCGACCGATGAAATGGCTATTGAAACGCATTTTGGTGCTATAGGCATAATTAAGGTAAGTTGGCGAACGCTTCAATAATCATTATGCAATTTATAATAATTTTTATTTGATTGTTATGCACCTGCAGAAAGATAAACGTACTATGAAGCCTAAAATTTGGTTATACAAGCACAAAGATACCGGCGTTTCAAAGGGCGAAGCTACTGTAACCTATGACGATACAAATGCCGCACAATCAGCCATTGCTTGGTTTGATGGCCGAGATTTCAATGGCTGTACGATTAAAGTTTCGTTAGCACAACGTCAAAATAATTGGAAAGGTCGTGGAGGCGGTAGTAGTGGTGGTGGCGGCGGCGGTGGTGGTTTCGGTGGCCGTGGCGGTCCCGGTGGTGGCGGTGGACGTGGTGGTGGTGGCGGTGGCGGTAGATTTGAACGCGGTGGCGGTGGAGGCGGTGGTGATTATGATTCCGGCCGCGGAGGTGGTGGTGATCGTGGTGGCCGTGGTAGAATGGGAGGTGGCGGCGGCGGCGGCGGAGGCGGTGGTGGTGGTGGTGGTGGTAACGTGCCACAACGCGAAGGTGACTGGAAATGTAGCAGTTGTAATAATACCAACTTTGCTTGGCGCAACGAGTGCAATAGGTATGTAGGCCAAATTGCTACCTTTTGTTTGAGTGTTGATGCTATAAAAAGAAATTCTATTTGCAGGTGTAAAGAACCTAAAAGTGATGGTGATAATGAAGGTGGTAGTGGCGGCGGTGGCGGCTATGGCGGTGGTGGTTATGGCGGCGGCAGCGGTGGTGGTGGTTATGGCAGTGACCGCGGTAGTGGTGGTGGCGGTGGCGGTTATGGCAATAACGATCGCGGTGGCGGCGGTGGTGGTTACGGTAACCGAGATCGCGGAAATGGCGGAGGTGGCGGCGGCGGCGGTGGCGGTGGTGGTTTCAACCGCTTCGGTGGCGGAGGCGGTGGTGGTCGAGGAGGCGGCGGTGGCCGTGGAATGGGTGGTGGTGGTCGCCGCGATGGAGGCGGTGGTCCGGTTAGAAATGACGGAGGCAATCGGCCCAGACCCTATTAACTGTTGTGCGATTTTAAGTTATATATATGTATTTAACTTTAAAGAAATTTTTTAAGTAAAGCAGATTTATTGTAGTAAGAGCGTAATTATTACTGCTATCTAAATAACAACAGTTTGCACGAAAAGTAGTTATGATGAAACAAAAATAATGACAAATGTTTATTACGGTGTATCATTTTTCAAAATAAACAAACTTAATTTTTAATTTTAATGACCAAATACAATTAATTGTTTTTTCTTTCTAATGAACACGCCTCTAATGATATGTTATAACATCTCTTAAGAACAGAGAATTTTAGAATGAGCTATAAAAAAAGAGTGAACTGTGCGCTTGTATAGAAACTCCTCTCGTTGCCTGGAACAAGCTTGTGCCCAGCTGTTATTAACAAAAGCTGATATCACTTGATTGAAAGTTGATCTTTGCGGCATCTGGTACTTTATTGAAATTAAGCTTCGTCTGTGCGAGAAGTTCAGCAGGCAAGGGCAATAAGGCTGCAACGATTATTATTTTTATCTAAATGTTTTTGTTGTTGTAACGATTATCCAAACTCTGCTTGGGGGACAGCAATAAGTTAACTGTCATCGAAGTCACGTAACGATAGGCCGAGGAAACGAGCTATTTCGATTGATTCGAACCATGCGGAGAGGGACGGTTAAGTGAGTAGATTTCATAGGGCATGCAAAGATTTCGAGAATCTAACCTTGTTTGGATCGGTAAGTAATCGGTTTGTTGTCCAAAATAATGTTGAATGCTGCGAGTTGTAAGTCCTTGGTCAGATAAAAATCCGGTTGCGTTACAAATTAGACTACTCTATATACAAACGGTTTTTATTAAATTATTAACAATACTTCAATGTAAAACGGGCCTACTGGTTGTAAAAATGCAAATTGAATAAATTATGAATGTCAAATTATTCAAATTATTTTCATCTCCGAAATAGCAGAATTTTGTCAGTGTGCATAAAAACTGGTTGTAATCGATAACTTGTTTTAATAATCTGTTTCATTTGCATTTAAATACAAAATAACTGCTTGCGGTCTATTGAAAATCAAGTTAATTTTTTATAATAAACTCAAATCTCTATCAATTTTTAGTACTTATGTACATGCATACATATATTAAATTATATTTATTGCCTTACAAGTGACTAGTAACAATGTTAAACAAAGGGCTTAACCAAAGCAGCTTCAAATATTTGCATAAATTACACATTCAATTGCGCCAGCGAAATACCAAATCAACATACAAAATCAAAACAAAATTTTGTCTATTTCCTTTTTGTTACACTGTTTGTTTTCATTTTGTATGGTTATGATTTTAATTGCCTGCCTCAAATTCGAAGATAAAAACAATAATAATAATAATAATAGTAATTATGTGTAGGACGATGATAAATCACTGAAATAAGCGCCAATTTAATGACGTGAGTGCGCCTGGGTGTGAACCGGTTATTAGAAGCAATGATATGTAATTTGTAAACGGCTGCTCGAATTGTAAATGGCTTTCAAATGCAGCGCGCAGTTGAGCTTCTTCCTCATTATAGATGTTTAATGTTCGAATGTGATCAATTGGGTCGGTCAATATGTGGAAATATATTTCCTCAAAATTGGTCTAGGTGAATAGCAATTTTTGTCATCATCCCGATTGATTGAGCCATATTTTATTTATCTTTTAACTAAGCAAGCTTTATGGTTTGCCAGTAAATCAGCTTTACGTTGCATACTCAAAGCGAATGGCGTGACGAGGTGAATAAATTTGCTGTGAAATCAATTGGGATTGCAACTTTTTAAAGCTGAACATTTGAAAAATAAAACGACATGTTAGTTACATGCAGTGCTTATCAAAATTTATAAAACTCATATAGGGCAATTTTAATATAACACATACATACATACATATGTAAGTAGTGACCCATAACATGGACCAACCCTTAGGCGTGAGTGGAATTTTGATGAAGTTGAACCTAAAATAGATTTAATAATTATATACATACATACATGTGTATATATTAATTTGATTGGCTTATATTATAAATTTTATAGCCTACGGTGGTCTAGAAAAGTATAGAGTAGGTAAACTTAGATAATATGTTATGATAAAATTGTTGTTGTTATATCAAAAACGTTTCATAATTACCTTGTGGTGCATGCTGCTGTCATCCATGCTGATCCTTAGCCGGATAATAACTATTTCTGGGTGTGCTCTTTTACAGGAAACAAAATGTCTGGTTGACCCTCAAAGATTATGTAATATTTTAAGCAAACTTTTAGTGCATAAATCTGGCTTGTAGTCGGTAGATCGACAAATCGCTCGACCAGATGATGTGGTAAGACCTTAGTTTTTTCCATAAGTTACACATAAGGATTTTTAATGTAAAATTCCACGCAAACCTAAACCTTGTTCAAATCCAAACTTTGCCGCCGAGTTTATGAATTATTGTATTATACCCGCAAAAGAAGCTATATAGAGTAAAATGTATATATATGTATATTAAAAATTTATTATACATATCAATTATATTTAATCTGAGCCCGAATCCAATTTAGTAACAGTAATTTTTTAAACAATTCAATTTTTTTGAAAATTCCCTCATAGAGATCAAATTGGTTGGAAGATATTTTTATAAAAGTATGCACTAACCTTTTCGAACATTTGACAACAACTATGACCACGCCCTCTTGTTCAGCAACATTTATATATGTACGTCTCACAAATCACTTGACCAACGAATCCAAATTTGAGACACATTACTCAAATGAAAATAACCTCACTTTTCTACCAATGTAACTGTAATGTCCGAATATCTTTTGATTGGCTCCAATTTTCAAAAAATAGTGATTTATTTAGATCGAAAAAGACCTTTCGGAACATTTTAGCTTGAAACTTATAACTGTAAATCTCTCATAGTCTATATGGGTTTACAGAGTTTCCAAAATGACCAAAAACTCGTTTTTGACAACCTTAACTTCAAAATTCTACTTTATGATGTAAGTTTTATATTTCGTCCAACAAAGGTCAAAGAAAAATATCAATAAAGTAATATAACAGAATAACCGAAATGGTTCCCCTGATATATTAATACGTTTTACAAAAAAATCGTTTCTGTCCCTTTAGTATTTATGGGTAAAAGTGTGAGATATAATATATTAACAAATTAAGATAAGACGGTTGATTGGGTAGCAAAACTTTTTGATTTAGACCAACTAACTCCTGACCTCTTATATAAGAATTTCGGTGCTCCTGCTGGAGCTTAAAATGTATCTAACGATCGATATGTCTGACAACTTGAGAATAAATATCTGAACATATCGCTCTTAGGAAAGTCTAATTTGTTTCTTAAATTTCGGCAAACGATTCAAAACTTCTACAAGAAAGAATAAACCTTATTTCTGCAACTATTTTTACCCTGAACCAGGTTACATATTAAGCTAGTCAAGAAGTTTCTAACACCTAAAAGGAAACGTCGGAAACCATATAAAGTGTATATATAAATGATCAGTGTGACGAGATAAGTCGATTTAGCCATCTCCGTCTGTATATATGCAAACTAACGCTCAGTTTTTGAGATACCGACCTAAAATTCGTCTGTCATATCAGTATAGCATATAGCTGACATTTAAACTGACCGATCGAAATCAAGAAAGAAATTTTTGTATGCCTTTTTATGCTATAAATAATGCAACTGTGAAGGGTATTATATTCAGTATCGCCCGAATTTTTCACTCTCTTACTTGTTTCTTCTCTGCAACCATGACATTAGTTGTTTGGCGCCTCTTCAATTAACACCAATTATTTTAATTGAATTTTATCAAAAATCTCTGCAAATTTTTACACACACGTGTAATTAGTTACTTATGTAATCAATTACAGCAATGTATTGCTGAATCGACAGCAATACGCGCATGCATTTATTGCTATTATTTTGCTATGAAGACACTTGAACACCGTGGTTCATTAAATGATAAGAGATATATGTATATATGTATGTATTTATTTATATAAAAAAATACGCAAAGTTGATTTTGTAAAATTTATAATTTCGCAGAAAGTAGCCCAAAAAGTGGTCTTACTCTTTGAGGCAATCACACTTTCACATTTTACCTTTTACTACATTACGACACTTTACTCAAGTCATAAGCGTCTCAAATTTATTGTATTTAGACTCAAAGCATGGTGGGCAACAGAGAATTACTCCAAGCAGGTTTGACTAGGACAATGAATTGGCCAGATGTTTGGCGGTGAGTGGGTCAGGTGTGCGAGTGCCTGTGTGTGTGTGTGTGTGTAGCACATTAGAAAAAATGTACCAAATATATTTCGTAACCAAACTCGAAATGCGGATACATCGTAAGTCCTTCTTTGGCATGGCGTAACGCGCAGATATCGTCTGCTTTGAAAGCGTGCTGCTAATGTGTGGAGCAGTGGAAAAGCCTGACAGAGCAGAGAGCATGCGCAGCTTGTGATCATTAAAGCATCTTCGGACTATAAAGATCGCAGTAGTCGCCTAAAGGCCTTTCACAGGTAGGCTGCTTGAGTATTTCTAGGTTATATTCGTACATACTCAGAGTGCTTCAACTAGACATTTACTTAACGTATATGTACATAATAATCTTTTTGCTAGTTAAATGAGCTAAATTATGCCACAATTTTTATTTATCTACTTAAGTTATACTTCTATTGAGGTAACCGAAAAGTTAGGCCCGTCTTCAACCGATGTAGCAGTATTTTCAGTGGAATTCTCATGCTAGAGATATGGTATATTCACAGCTTCGTGAATGCTGAACTCTTCGTTCATAATTTTATATATGATCGTGTAGCACAAGTTTTGCAGCAACCCAACATCCGCCGCATGACAGTCACGCACTAAATCCACTTGCTGAGCCCTTAAAACTAGACAACAATTTTGTTTGGCCACCTTCACTTAGGCTGTTATTATTTTTAGCTGAACTGGTAGTAGAAGCAGCCGACACTCTTCTGGCGCTGGTGGCGTCTGACTTAATTACAACAAACATTTCATTCCTGACCTACAAAATGTTATTAGTACCGGTTGTGGGGCTCGGTTGCGCCATCGATATTAATTAAGTAATCAAAAGTCTATAGATGTTAATTATGTCTAAATTTAATTAATATATTTTATTTTATAATATATTTTCCTTCACGATCTGTTAACACTAACAATTTTTGGTTGTTGAAAATCGATTAATGGGAGAAGATGAGCAATTCGTATAGAAAATTAAAGCCTCGTATTGGTGCTAATTACTTCAAACACATACAAATAAAAGAAGTGAAATACAAAGCCAAAACCGAAACATAACAATAAAAAAAGATGTGATTTTGCTTCCTAATTCATAAATTTAAGATATCGGCTAAATTATACACATTTTGTAAGGGGGGCTTGAGACTAAACTCTTATTGTGAAGCAAGTCTTACATACTTACATGCAAAGATAGACGCTGAGAGTCTCAATTACCCAGTTAAGCAATTGTTTGTTACTAAATTTAACTGTAAAAATTTCGAATTTTCTTTCTTATAACTCACTACCTCACAATATACTAAGTTTTTGAAGTGTCTTAGGGTTAGGAAATAATATTTTTTCAACAGTTATCGGAGTAGTTGCTATTGTTGCATTGGCAAAAAATGGTCTTGAAATAGTTTGGAGGCAAACTGTCGAGTTAACAGTCCCAGGTCGGATTTAAATCGGGGATCATTCCATTTACAGGTTGGTTGCAAAGTTTCTGCGCTCGAAATGAAAGAATGCAGTTTTTGGTACGAAATATATTTTTTTATTCAATATAATCTCGCCTAACTTCATTAGAATAGAATATGAATATGAGGTTTGCACTGCGACCCAGGGTCTATTGTGCCCTTTAACTTCAATACACTTATTTTAATGATCCTCCAATAATTGTATGACATCCCTATAATGACTTCCCAGTAGCTCTGCAAAGTACCCACTTACGGCTGTAATACAATAGCTTCTTCATTCGACGAAAAACGCTTTTAACGAAGAATTTGTTCCAGGTTTCTGAAGGAGTAGTAGTCGCTGGGAGCGAAATCTGGTGAATGCTCAAGCAAATCGTGCTTTAATTCGTTGATTTTGTCATTGCTAAAACACCTTTGTGAGCCGGTTCATTGTCTTGATGAAACCATCTCTTTACTCACGAATTTTTTCATCCGGCTGATCCGAAAGGCTGCAATAATATTCTGAGTAGATTGCTTTATGCTTTCTGCAGATAATCAATCAACAAAATTCCTTTTGCATCCCAACAAGCTGATGACATAACTTTCTTTGCTGATCGTTATGACTTCACCTGCTTTGGAGCTAAACAACCAGCTTCAGTCCACTGTAAACGTTCTTGTTTCAATTTAGGATCATGGTGGTGGATCCAAGTCTCATCCATAGTTATAAAACGACGCAAGAAATCGGTTTTATTCTGCTTAAAACGCTCCAAATTATGCTGAGAAATTCGTTTCCAATAAAGGCGGTGCGGACCCCGATTGTTATTCGATCAAGTACTACCGTTTTGCTAGTATTCCCAATAACTTATCCCGTTAAAATCACAACAACATAGTCAGAAGTGTCACACAGCCTCAGGGCGGCTTTTCTACAGACAAAATTAACTTTAAGCGGAATTTTTAATTCAACCCAGGTCTACTTCAGCTCACAAAATATTGAAATAATTTGGAAAATAATAACTTGACAGAAATTCTCGTAAAGCTAATAAAAATTTGACACAGATTGAAAGAAAGCTGACTTTTTTTTCAGAAAAGCATTTTAGAAAAGTTTAACCTCAAAGTTTCTTCCCAATTTTTTTGCTTTCGTTATTTTTGATAGTATTTCAAAGAACTCGAGAATTACGAATTATTTAAAGAAATGTATTTGAATCTGCACCAAATTAGCTATTGGTGAGAGTTGATGCATTCCGAAACGGGCTAATCTTCATAGCTTGACTGATTGTAATTTTGGAAAAGACGTGATAACACTGCTACCTCAAATTTGTATATGTTGGATAGCCATGTTGAATTTTTGGTGTGGGGAGAGTCTTCATACATGGGCTACGTTTTGAGGCAGCGGATCTTTCGTGTTGCCAGAACTTACACATAGGTAACATACATATGTATTTATGTATCGACGAAGCGCTTAGGTTAGGTTATATCGCGCCTAATCCGCACGATGATGATCAAATGTTTTCTAGTTGATCTATAGAAACATGGGTTCTTTGTCTTGCCAAAATTTGTAGGTATCAACCAAGTTAACTTCATGTATCGAGGCAGCGCTTTAGGTCAGGCTTCGGGGCTGATTTGCTCGACAGAGTTATGGATCAAGAGATCTTCTTGTACTGACGAAGCGCTTTAGTTAGAATCAGATAGGTTTTGGGGCTGATCCGGACTACAGAGATCACGGGATCCCACTTAGATAAGGAGACCTTCTTGTACCGACGAAGCCCTATGAGCCACTCATAGATTTTTTGCGAAGCCTAAAAACAATTTCAGTCAATTCGTCCGATTCACCGAAGGCTTGACAATCAAGACGTTTCAACTTCTGTCTAGCGAATGTCGCTTTCTATATAACTACAATAGTTCGGAATTATTTTAATTAGTAGCACATATAAGGAGTTGGCTCGTTGTTTTAAGAAAAGTGCAATGGAAAATTTGTACTCACGAGGTTACACATTTTGGAAATATGGAAATCTTGTATGTCCATTTCATGTACCATGCGCTGATGTATTGGTTGATGCCTAGTCTTTAGTTGTTTTGTGTCTTTGTTTTTGTTTTAAAAACGGGTATTTGTTAATCATACTATCAGGCATTCGGTGAGGCCAGACACCAAAAGTTTGTTGAGGGTGAACGCGAATCACGACTGAAATCGAAATTATGTACATATATACATACAATACATATGTACAACGACGTACATAAATGCAAACAGTTTGTTTGAGTATGCTACAACGGTACTAAAATAATAACATCAAATGCAAGTTTGTTGTACTTTACAGCTAACGGTGATGACGCGTTGTAAAGTTGCCCACAAGCATCAGGGAAGTGTTGTAGTCGAATAAATGTACAAATATATAATATACGGCTCTATATATGTACATTTATGATATAGTATGTATATTATTTATATATACTAATATATGTATGTATGTAGATGTATGACTTGGAGGCTGTCCACAAGTGCACACCGCTTTGCGCCTATAAACCACGGTAGCAAGAAGATGGTGTCAAGTGGCACTATGTATGCTCTAGTATGTATGCATGTGTGCGAGTGTTAGTGAACAAAAGACAAAGTGTATGTGTTGGTTAGTAAATATATTTTGTCGCCTAGCATTTTGTGTATTAATAAATGTGCTTTTTTTGTTTTGTTTTTAATAATTTTTATGCCCTGAACAGGATGTATTAAGTTTGCCACGAAATTTGTAATACACAGAGGGAAACGTCGATGACTCTCCAAAATGTATACACTGCTCATTTATCGGAATCGTGGATATCGAACCACTATGGCATATAGCTGTCATACAAACTGAACGATCAAAATCAAGATAAAGTTGCTATTATACCCCTTTATGCTGTAGGATTTGTACCTGTGAAGGGTATTCAAGCTTCGGTGCAACCGAAGTTAACGTTTTTCTAGTTTTTTTGTTTTTTTTTGCTTGCACATTGCATAATTTCGTTAATGACAGCGACAATAGCAAAAACAATTAAAGTGCAATTAATGAATGCAATGTTTAGATGCCAAATCGGATGGGAATTGTACGCAGAATCATTAAAATCTTAATGAAAGTGAAATTAAGAAGGAAAAGACGCTAAAATGCTTAAAATATAAATACAAACCCACACATACATAGATGCATATGTATTACTACTACCTACTATGTATGTATGTTTGTATCTCAAAAACATAAACAAATCTCATGCTTGAAAAGTGTGTTGTAGGCATGAAGCAACAACACTGCAACGCCCAACCTCAACAATATTAGCATTAGCTTGGCATCATCATAATTATTATCAATATCAGCTGCGCTTTACTGACCAACAGCCGCGGTAGCCGGTTTTTTGTGTTTACTCATCTAAAAATTCAGTTATTATAACTATTTACCAACTTCTTCTACTCGCTTAGCATGTAAATCAACGGAAGTTTGTGCCCTATTGCCGCCGTATTGCTGAGCGCATCTTTACAGCTGTTGTTGGCGCATGTCGCATGCTATGCGCTGCTGCGCTGCCAGCTTAACGTGGTTTTCGCATATAAAGGCGTTCGTTGCAACGGTTAAAGCATCAGTTGTTGTTTGACTCTGTCGACTTACATTTCTATTAAACATAGAGATAACAACATGAAGGTGTGTACCGTTAACAGGATTAATTGGATTAAAACATGCAGCAGTGTCACGTTGCATTCCTGCAAAACGGACTACATTGGAAACGGATAACTAACAATAATTATCTCTATTTTTACTTAGGTATTTGTGTGTTTATTGGCGGTTTGTGCCATTGCGAATGCGGGCATTATTGGCGGTGGCGGCGGTGGTTGGTCCAGCGGCGGTGGCGGTGGTGGCGGCTGGTCTAGCGGCGGCGGCGGCGGCGGTGGTGGTAGTGTCAAGATTGTTAAGATCATCGATGCTGGTTCCGGCGGACATGGTGGCGGCGGCGGCGGTGGCGGTTGGTCCAGTGGTGGAGGCGGCGGTGGCGGCTGGTCCGGTGGTGGCGGCGGCGGCGGTGGTGATATCAAGATCATCAAAGTCATCTCACAAGGCGGTGGTGGTGGCGGCGGCGGCGGCGGTTGGTCTAGCGGTGGTGGTGGTGGCGGTTGGTCCAGCGGCGGCGGCGGTGGCGGCTGGTCTGGCGGTGGTGGTGGTGGTAGCGGTGGCTCTGTCAAGATCATTAAAGTCATCTCGCAAGGAGGTGGCGGCGGTGGCGGTGGCGGTTGGTCCAGCGGCGGCGGCGGCGGTGGTTGGTCTAGCGGTGGTGGCGGTTGGTAAATTGCCAATCAACACAATCGAAAAGCTAACTCCTTGTGATATGCGTTAAGCCAATAGTGTTCAAATTTATCGTCATCGTAAACTTTACAACAAAATTTTGTAATTCTCGTTGCAATACATGCCCTGCCATAATCATACCTAATCATCCACCATTTGGCAGCAACCTTAACATCATCAAAATGCAACCATTTAGACCACTTCGGAAATCTTCATCGTTGATTTGTTGCCAGGAGTCACCATCAACTAGTATGTCTTTTTAAAATACTCATATGTGACTTGAGGAATCTACCGAGCTCTTACTACATGTTTACATCTGTACACACAACTTTTGTATATAAATCCACTATTTTTTTTTAGCAAAATAAAATAAAATAAACAAAACTTACAATATAGTTAAAACAAAATCTCGTTTCTGTACTTTATTGGTCGGCTAGATGAGTATTATTGCGCACCTTAAACTTTGAACTTCTACCTCTTTTCCAAATTTTGTATGCTTACTACCCAGATTATTTAGAAAATTAGCAACAATAACACTAAAAGCCGCTTAAATGAAAGATAGCTTCACTGCTTCCTCTATAGTTGGATCTACGTGTCCGCAACTAAACCGAATTTTTATTTGGCCAAGCACAGTCACCTCAAAAAAGATCAATCAGCCATAATAGGACATGTTGTAATATTGTTAGTACTTTCAAAAACCGTATTTTTGTCAAAAGGCGTAAATTTCTAACGAACTGAAACGGAAAATAAATAATTTGAGCAAAACATATGTTTGTTTACTGCGGTTGTTATCCTATTTATTGCCGTTATGAAATGTCGTTAGACCGCAAAAATTGGCTATGATGACATATCAACAAAACACAATTATGAATGAATTAGCAAGTACCAGTAAAATTCATGTGTAATGAATATAATTAAAGCATTGTTCAGCGAAAATGCACCGGAAATAAAACCGAAATTACTTCCTCAAAAATTTAGTTGGTAGTTGGAAATTTTGAACATCAAAAGGCTTGCTGCCAACAACGCTGCTATTCAATTTTTAATGAAATTTCTACAATATCTTCTGCGATTTTACACCACTCACGGGCACTTTCGGGGAAAGCATACGTTCATGGACAGATATTACGCATTTGCATTGAATATGATTTTGGATATACTTGTATGTACGTTGGATTTATGAGATCTCTAGTTTATGGTATCGTCCGCATGACGTTTATAACAACAAAGCAACGAAAATGTATACATATGTATGTATGTATATACATTAGATTTACAAGCATTATAAAGATGCCTGGTAGTTGCTATTGTTTGCATTAGGAGTTAATTTCATCGTTGACTTTTCGTTTATGCCACTCAATTAATTTAAAGTTGCTTTGTGGGTGCGTTACACGCTTGAGAGAAAGTTATTATGGTCTTAGTTGTGTTGATCCATAAAATATACTTTTTCGTTTATTGCAAAATTTAAAAGTTTTGTGTATAATTTTAATAATTTTTCAATACATTCGCCTACAATATTTTTTTCTCATAAATTTACATGTACATACATACATATACATATATGTACATATATATAACATATAATACATACTATTATATATAGCGTAAGTGATGTCTGTGCGTTAATTATTTTGCTTCAATTGCAACTTTTGTTACCTTGACTTTATTTCATGGCTTTCAATTGCGTTATCTAAGTTGTTTAAAGTGTATTTACTTTTTATTTTTAAATTAAAGTTCCTATACTTATAACACTTAATCATTTTAAATTTTAGACACACAAATTTTCTTATAATAATATATGTTACATTGACACACATACTTATAACAAGGTGCTTACATTTTTATCTTGTTTGACGAAGGGAAATAAGAACGACTGATAGTTCCTATGAAAACTTATTTTACTGTAAAATGTATAAAATATACTAATTCGTCTTTTTACGAATCAATTTAAGTTTGCTTAATACTTAAAATATTAGGAACCGCTTTAATATCCGGTTAATTTAATGGGATGATTGTTTCCGGACATTACTATTTGAAGATTATCGTTATATAATACGTCATACAAACATATATTATTTGGAGGTATTCACAGTTAGAATAATTTATATGTATAATTTTAAATGTTCTTAAAGATTAAATGAAATTCACCACTAATTTAAAAAGAGCGTAAGCACTCCTTACAATAAAAATAAATGTTAATGAAGTAAAAAGTTACAAACAACTATTCTTATATGATGTATATATAATTGTTTAATAATAGAATTACCATATAAAGTCTCAAGCTGGCTTGATGTGATTATTTTCAGATATAAAAAGAGTTGTCACTTTCAAGACGCCAGTGTAGGGACAATTGGTTACTAAAAAATACCATTATTTGACAAAATTTGAAAACCTATACCTTTAATCATTATACATTTTTCTACCAGATTTGTATTATCAAAAGAATAAAAGTACACATTATTCTATTATAAAAATTAATATTGCTATCTGTTTATTTAAACCTTTTTGTCCAACACTAATGTTTTAACCTGAGCAACCCTGTAGTTATGAAAAATGGCGGTCTGCTCTACGATTTCACCACACCTTATAACACCAGCGTACTCGCTCTGTCATTGGGCAGAAACAAGGTTGTTAAAAGGCAATAGTATGATCTTCTGCGAACGAGGTGCAAAGCATATCAAAGAATAACACATACAAGAGCAATGACAAAAAATCAAGTGTCATATCAATAGGAAAAGCAAGCAGCGCATAAAAAGAAAATTTCAGCTCCAATTGTAATAAAAATTTCTTGCCCAACAATTAATTAAAAGTATTATAATTGAAAGAAATTTATAAGTGTGAATTGGAGCTACATATTTAACTAAAAAAAAGCCCTTATTATATGTAAGCGCTTCTCATGAATATAACTCGAGGGTAAGCACGTTCCAGCAGAGCCGTATTGAAAAAGTTTCGCTTTTTGCCGACGACGAAGTTCGAGTCGTCGACGTCCCTCCCAGAAAAAAAAAATAATATCAGTAAAAGGAGGAACACTCCGAAAGCCAAAGGGTTGGTTTTCAATTGAAAATGCCAAGATAACTTGGTTAAAATTTTGTTTGAAACTAACCAAAATAGCGGCATATCGTTAAACAACGGAGTATTGGGGAATCTAAAAAAAAATTGTAGACGTTTGTTGCAGCGGCACAACGAAGACGAAGAGGAAAAAAATTGGGCGAAAACTTTGCATTGATGGTAATGCATGCTAGAAAACCGCAACGTGTGAACGATGGGTAAATTTATTATTTTACATTTATTGCATGCATTTTGCAGATAGCTTAGTAACTAAAATCAGAAATTTAATAATTTTGAACCACTAGTCAAATTAATAAGTACGATAGTTCGATAATACACAACAATCTTTTAAAATGATTTGCTATCAGTGAGAAATTTTTTGCTGGCATTTTTCCGTTGTCCGTCATTCTCCGGCCATTCGTATGGCTTTGATTTCATTGTGTGCTTTGAAGTTAATTTTTCCTTCCACCTTGTTTGATTATCTGCTATTTGTCTGGTTCACCAATTCCGAATTGTCTTGTGTTCGTACTTTCGTTCTTTTCCAATTTCTTTGATGGAATATTATAAGGAGAAGAGGAAAAAAAATGTCTGAATATTAAAATCGACTAAGAACTATTTGAAGATTTCACAAATTTCTGCATCGGAAAATTACAGAAAAATTGTTGTAAAGTTTTTGAAAAGATTTTCATGTAGTTTAATTTGAATTTGAGTGAAAACTTGCTGTATGAAATAAGGAATCAATTATTAACATCTGACTCTGGGAATTTCTAATTGTACATAGTTGAGTAGATATATCTATATGTATCTGTTCTGCCTTTGCTGCTGCTACTTCTAGTGCTGCTGCACCTCTCCAATATAAACGCCGTCGTCTTTACCAGTGCTAAGCATTAGCCTTTGCTACATATTCCCTCATATGCGGTAATTATTTTCAACGATTTTCATTTCCTCCTGTATTTTTCTTACAAAAGAATAGTGTGGAATAGTTGTACATATATTCTACACGTTAATTAACTTTTATGGATTACAAGATTTATTCAAAAAGGCAACAATATCGGTATTTTGTGCCGTCATTGAATTAATAATATTTAAGTTGCATTTATTCAACAACAACAAGATGTTTTTGTAAAATCCATAAATTGGCTGCAATGAAAATCTGACAGAAGCTAGTTGTGCACCTTGCAACAGCAAATGCCTTTGAATGCAAATATTTGCAATTTAAGCACCGTTGAATTAAACAAAATATAGAATATATCTGTTTGTTAGATTTTCCACGCATTAAACCAACAAGTATAAAAACAATTAAAAACGTTAACATCGGTTGCACCAAAGTTTTAATAAATACTCTTCACAAATAAAAGAGTTTCTGTAACAGAACATGTTCTTAATCCGTACGTTTGTATGGCCGATTTCGTGATAATATATTGTTAAATAAAAAGTTTTGCATGCAAGACATGATTTTGATCGTACAGTTTTATAGTAGCTATATGCTGTAGGAGTCCAATATCGTGGTCGTGGCAAACGTAATATACCGTGTTCAGCGTATAAAAATGTGTATTCTGCGACAGCAGGTGTAGCCGGAACTAATACAATTCTACTCGTCAAGGGTTTTCACTTTAGCAGGCTGTTCCAAAACTGAGAAGGCCTAGACTACCTAACTAAATACTTATAATTAATTAACTGACATGCTTAATTGAAATTAATTTTTCTTTATATTCTTGCAGCTACTTTGAGAAGCATCAGTCGCATTCGTATCAGGTGAGTGTTAAAAAAAATTGTAAATACTTGTAGAGTATTTATGGCAAACATACTGCATATATTCATCTTTATGTTGCCCCGACTATATTCATGGATGTGATTATATCATATGATTTATATTCTAGAAATTGAAGTGACTAGTATATTACAAAAAATATTGTTTTTATGCGGTTTTGCAAATTTCTTTGTTCTGTGCTTGTGTCGTAGAGCTACACATAAATTTAGTAAATATTTTTTTGATTTTTACAAAATTAACTTTTAGTTAAATGGTGTTTATTTGTAACTAATTGAAGCCGGATATATGCTTTTTCAAATTATCAGTGCCATATAGTTAATCTATTTCAGTTTATAACTTATTTGTGTCAAAATTTAAATGCTAGAACATACCGACTTGTGTTTCCTGCTTTCATTTTTAATAATAACTAATATTTGTGCATTATAATAACTATACCATGCCATATAAAACCTTTTGTGTTTCGTTGATCATTGTATGTGCGCATATTTTCAACAATTTTTTTTTTTTAATAATTTCTTCTCTAACTGCAAACATATACAAACTGCATCGGTCTTCTCGTTAACTGTTGTGTACATCATTACCAAGCAGCAAATCATCTCAACATACAATATGAAAGTTCTCCTTCGTCACTAACAAAAAAAAAAACACTAAGCACATATAATTAATAATCAAATATAAAAAGTAAAAATACATATAATAATATTATTAAAAAAATACAACTAGTTGTATTTTCGCGTCTAAAGCGCCAAAAATGTCTAGAAAAAGAAATGCAACCAATTGTAAGTCTGTATCATCTACGAATCCTACAACATAACAAACCGACAAATAACCTCTCTCACAATTGTGTGTTCCATCAACTCAAGGCAACTCATTTCGCTTCGCGTTAGTCAAGTAATAAAACACAAAAAATTGAAAAGTAACAAAGGAAAAAAATACACCATTATTTAAATATATGTAAATCGTTAACATCATTTTAAAGTGCAAAGTTGAAAATTGTTTTTAGACAGAAAAAAATGGAAACTTCGACGCATCTTAATTGTTGCATCATCGCTTAGAAAATTATAATATTAAAATAATAAAAAAAAAAAAACGTTTTAAGTGTATATAAATCACTATCATCTTAGTGTCAGCTCTGCGAGACGCTTCCAACGATTCCTGAAGCGTTCTGTTAGTACTCACTCGTGAGATTCCACAGTTTATGACTACCACAAATAGTATCACAATAGATTTACCATTGGCACCCGGCTGTAACATAAATGCTGCTGTCGGTCTGTGTCGCGTAGATGATGTAAGTAGAAGTGCGCCAGTCGTGGGCGTACGCTGCGCATGCGCTTATCCACTTGAAAAACGTATGCACAGTAGCGTCACATGGCACCAACAATTACTGTAGATAACTTAAATACACTCGTTTCACACAAAAACCAAAAAAAAAAAAATAATAATCATAGAAAGCGAAATTTGTGTACACACTTGGCGACACGACACGGACCGACAGGTCAGATGATGCAGAGTATTTCGAGAAAGTACAAATACTAAAAATATTGTGAATGTTATTATATTTCAAAAAAAAAAAAAACAGTCCTGTCGCTAAGTGTGCTCTGTGGCTTGATGCCGTTATTTCAATCCATCAGATGTTAAATGGAATTTCAAAATTTTAAATTGTCTTTTTTTTTCACACAACTTAGTTTCTTTTTATTTTCTTATACATTTTATATGCATTGGCATTTCTGCAAATGTGGCAACTAATTTTTTTGATGTTGTGTGTGTATTTCTTTTCCCATGAATACATAGTAGATCAGCACCTCATTTAGTTTTTAAAAAAGTTTGTACATTTGTTATTTAATGATTACAAACATTTTGCTCTTCCTTTACAGAATTCCAAGTACAGTTCAAAGCGCGATTATGAACGCGATCGCTCATCAAACTATCGCGATCGCGATCTGTCG